AATTTATGCTTAAGTTGGCAAAGAATAATAACTGTTCACCCGTATGATTCTTTTGAAAACTTGAGCTAGAAACTTCTAATCTAGTTTGCTTGGTCTAACTAATACTTATGTATCTGTTCGTCCTTTCACCCTATAGTTCTGGTGCTCTAAATCAGCTGTCTTTAATCCGAATGACAAAAATTAAAAAGTATACTTTTCTCTTAGGTGAAACTGCAGTTAAAATGTTAGACTGACAGCCCACGTGACTTTTTGCGTAGGTGTGCAAAAAAATTTGGGTCAAATTTGAGTGGTTTTTGTTGAATAACTGTGCACATGCGTATATTTAGACCAAATTTGACTCCTAATTGTAGATTGTAAAGATCTATCAATGAACCAAATTTGAAAAAATTCTTTGGAGTTAGCATGTGTTTCTATCAAATAGATTTTCTGTACTTATGGTGCGAAGAGAAAAAAAAGGAAGAAACTCAATCAAAATTGGAGATGCTATATCTCAGATATTTCTTAATGGATTGCCTTAAAATTTGGTTTGTGAAGTAAGATTCCAGTAGAGCACATCCACTGAAAATATGTGTCTCCTAATTCCTGTTCCTGAAATGTTGTATCTATATTCTTGGAATACAATATCTACATTACAAGGCATCTGAGTCAGGTTTCACATAGGCCTGTTCATTGGATCATGGTAGTGTCGTGCTGCCAAAACAACTTGCAGGACACACTGTGTGTTATTAACAGGAGTGATAGTTTGGCAATTTTCCATCTTCTATATCTCGGACTGTGGGAATCCAAACTAATAACCTTGTATTCCAGGAGCAGGACAAGATGAAACATGACCTAGAATGGGTCTTGCAGCATAGGTTTGTTATACATAAAACTTGATGAAGTAAAATCTAATAGTTGCTGGTTTTGTGGGTCCTGCTCTTTAGGAGAATAAAAACAAAATTTTAAAACATTTTATCTTCTTAGCTTATGCTCTGCCTAGTTAAAAATTCTTAGAGTCTATTTTTATGCTTTTAACCACATTTCATTTCACTATTCTATAAAACAAGGAATACAAAAAAACACCATTTCAGATATAACTTTCTTCACTATATAAGTGAAGAACTTTTGATTGAAAATAGTTAATGGTTTTAGAGATACTCTTTTGGCCGCTGCAGGTTTAACTAACTCATTAACAGTATTGTGTAAATAGCCTTGGACAGTTATCCTTCAAAGAGAAAAACTAGATCTGAAATGAAATATGATAAAATAAAATGTGGTGTTAAATGCATGAGGAAAAATTAAACGTAGAAAAATGTGTCAAAAAAATATAACATAAGTTTGAGGTGATGTCTTGCATCACACTTAAACTGGCTTAATAAGCTTTCTCACTTACAATGAATGATATATATAAAAAACATTAGATTAAAGCCTTCTTTATTATCATTCTCACTTTTTCACTATGGTACAGAAACAATTGCAGGAACAATTCTCAATCAGCTTAGTTCTTTAGTGAGCTCCAGAACAAGACATCTGCTGTGTCTTGTTGTAGACTGGCTCTACAACTAAACAACATCCATAAAACATCATGACTCTATTGTCTTGCTTTACACTATATCTAGTCATGCCTCTAGAATACACTATACACTGCATGGCATCTACTGAATGTGTCTCATTTATGGATTACAGTTCTTATTTCTAACTGGCCTTTACCTCGTCTAGTCGTGATTCAGAGTACAGTATCTATAATGAGAGACTTAATTTAATCTTCTTTCTGGAACACGCTGCAATATAACTTCATTGTCAAACCTATCTGAAGTCGACTAGATGTAATGTTTAAAATTTGTTTTTATGTAGGCTAGATGTAATGTTTAAAATTTGTTTTATGTAGGCTAGATGTAATGTTTTAAAATTTGTTTTTATGTAGGCTAGATGTAATGTTTTAAAATTTTGTTTTTATGTAGGCTAGATGTAATGTTTTAAAAATTTGTTTTTTCGTTGGCTAGATGTAATGTTTTAAAAATTTGTTTTTTCGTTGGCTAGATGCAATGTTTTAAAAATTTGTTTTTTCGTTGGCTAGATGCAATGTTTTAAAAATTTGTTTTTTCGTTGGCTAGATGCAATGTTTTAAAAATTTTGTTTTTATGTAGGCTAGATGTAATGTTTTAAAAATTTTGTTTTTATGTAGGCTAGATGTAATGTTTTAAAAATCATAAAAAAAAAACTTATCACAAAAATAATAAATGATTATCCAATTACACCACCAGTGATGTTGGTTTAATTTTCTGATAGCATTATACCTAACATCCGATTCAAGCTCTCTCTCAGAGAACTGTTCCAACAGCACCAAGTGGATGAAAGGATCAAGATCAGCTCCATTCAGTAGCATGTAAACACCAATATGCTGGAGACGAGGATCTTCAGTTTGGGACCTGTCTAGTTTCACCAGCCTCTGCAACCTGAAAAGTTCTAGTTGTACAGCCTACATAAAAACAAATTTTAAAACATTACATCTAGCCTACATAAAAACAAAATTTTAAAACATTACATCTAGCCTACATAAAAACAAAATTATTTTCTGTGACTGAAAGATGTGTTTGGGTTGTTTTGTTTGATTTTTATATTTTTACACTGTGTACTAAGGACGTTGATGATGAATTAGTACTGAAGCCTTTTGATACCATGAGATTAATAGCGGGTTAAAGATTAATCACCTACTATGTGTGATAGGTTAAAATTGACAATAAAGTCTTTGTAACCTTGCGTGGACAACATGAGCGTATGTGACTTAAAAGTTGGGATTTGACATCCTAAATATGCTTTAGTAGGTTTTGATAACACACATCTAGATGTATGTATAGGTACTAACTAGTTTTGGACAGAATGTCTTACTTTTGGTTTAGGGTTATACTTTAGATAAAATGCATGCGTGGTCACAGAAAGTCATGTACTCTGTAGGTGCAGGTGCAATTTTAAGAAATGTAACCATATTTTTGTAAGAATTAAAATCTTCAAGAAGTGCCTTTTAAATGCTTTGAAGTAGCTTAGTTAGTACCCTTTCTTTGTGACTTGTAAGAAGTCACATAAGTTGCTGTTAAATTATATATTTTGTATTTTTTCTTTTCAGTTTGTGACACCTAAATGATTACAAACACTTGATAGGATTTTTTTTTTAAATATTATCCAGTTTGAGTGTGTTTCAACAATTTCTTTAAAGTCATGTGGTGGAGAAACAGAGCCTAAAGGTTCAACATCTCGTGTTAATGTTAATTTCTGGAAGTACTCTGATGAACAAATAATAATTGATAGCTTTCTTCTAAAAGTGAACTGGTTACTTTCTATTGAAATATCTGGTTTGAAATGAATTGTAGTTAATCAAAAGTCCAAAAATAGGTACTTTTATGAAAAAATTCAGTAATCTAATAGTAGGTGAATGGTATTATATTATACAATGGTTTGCTGGAAGTAATTGAAAATTGTCATACATATCATTATAAAACAATGTCTTGTTTTTTTTATTAATCCACCTAATTAATCTTGTTTGTTGGTCTTGTTCACAGAGGGAGTCAGCTTAGGAAGGTTGCTGTTAATGTTCTGAGGAAGTTGAAGAGTAACCTAATGGAGGGGCAGGACAAAACATACCAGACTTGGCACAGAGACTACAGCAACTTTCGTAAATTGGTAACTCTGTTTGTTAGTGGGGTAGAGAGATTCCACAATGAAAGGTAATAATTTATAGCCATAATCAAACCTTATTTATCATTTGGGAAACTGAAAATAAGTATTACTTTTCCCATTTTCACACACATTTCAGAAGTTTAAATCGTATTGGCTGTTGCTATATGGAGATGAAGCTGATACTAGAAAATTAGATTGAAGTAAAGATTCTGGTTGTAACAACGTGTGAAAACATTAGAACTGATACAGGTTTTTCATTGAAAATACACTTTTAATATTTGTGTATTGTACTCTTGTTCTCAGGCCATTTTTAAAATATAATAGTCCAGTAAAATAGTTTAGTCTTGTAAGTATAAATAAAAGTATTTGATATCTGTGACAGATATCTTGTTTTGAATTATCTTACCTTTAGATTTAGCTGTTTGTGATATTTTCAAATCAAGGTTGAGTTTGGTTGTAATCTTTTACATCATATGCTACTAATTTTGTACTGTAGATACAAGACACATTTTTATCACAAAGAATAATATGGAAGTACTGTCTTCAGTTCAAAATGTCTAAACCAAAATATTTTCTATAACTTTTTTCTTTTAAAATGACCTGAACATAACCTTGTAAGAGTGATAGTCAGTCTTGTTGTTTGGCTAAGACTAGACTTTTCTGGTGGTGGGTACCACTGAGTGGTTGGCTTTTCTTTTTCCTGCAGTTCAAAGTTAGTAACAGTGGCTATGCCTCAACCTTAGGTATCCCCAACTTGATCATTTCCAATTATGTACATAAGGTGTTGTTCGGGTAACAAACAAGCACTTTTGTTTTTACATCTCCATCGACAGTCCTCCATGGGGTACCTTAATTATGTAAGTGTATATGCATGCTAAGCCTAACGTTGATATTTTCAACTGAAAACATAATGATGCCTGTCCTTGTGTTTTAGATACCAGGAAGCATTACCCTATCTAACAAATGCTTGCAATCTCAATGAGAAGTTGGCTGGAAAAAAATTGGACAAAAATCGTGGGCTGGAGCAACGACTGTTAGCCTATTATCGTCGTCAGTGTTTGTTGGTAAATCACATTGTGTATTGTAATTGAATGAAAATTTTATTGTTTTTTCTGTTGTAAGACTTGTTGATAAATTGTATTAGACATATGTATTTGAGGAAAAAAAGACAACAGATAAGATGAATCATGCTGTATGATGAATTAATAACACTATTTTAGTGTCTACAAAAATAAATAATGCAAATGGGTAGCAGCCTGCACAAAAAGAATTGTTTTCTAAGACATTGGCTAATAATTTTGACGTACTCGCTCCACTTTCAGTATTGAAGTGTGATATAAAATTGGCTAATAATTTTGATGTACTCGCTGCACTTTCAGTATTGAGGTGTGATATAAAATTGGCTAATAATTTTGATGTACTTGCTGCACTTTCAGTATTGAAGTGTGATATAAAATTGGCTAATAATTTTGACGTACTCGCTGAACTTTTAGTATTGAGGTGTGATATAAAATTGGCTAATAATTTTGATGTACTTGCTGCACTTGCAGTATTGAAGTGTGATATAAAATGCAGCTGCTCAGTCATGTTCATGTTATTTTTTACAGAATTTAAATAAAGTTGCAGCATCTCAGTTTGGGTCAGATGACCTGAAAGTTGCTACTGATGCTTTGGTGTTGTTGAATGACTGTTTGGTTCCAAGCATGGCTTTTCTGACAATGGATTCTTCTTATCAAGAAGACAAAGCTGCAGCAGAAGAAATTAGAGGGTTTTGGTGTTCCAAGCTTGGAGAAGACATCCAGGGTAAGTCAGCTGTCTAATATTTTCATACGTCATTTGAGTTTCCTGCATCTGCATACAGTCTTTAGATTCCTCTCTGTTGTCTGTTAACCCTCTTGCTACGGTCGTGGTTGATTTGACCGAGTTTATAACCCCAAAATAACCATCAGTTTCCATACTATATCTTTTAATATGGTAAGTGTATCTTCACAAAATTTGGCAAGCTTTCAGTAAACATTGTCTTTTTTTTTACACAAAGAAATTGGATTTTTACTAAAAATTTGATCGGGAATACATGGAGTCAGAATGTTAACTGTTTTGAGCACAAATTGATTTTTATGATCAGATGGAAAATACTTTTCTTCACCTGAAAATTGTCAAATTTTACTTGTATAATTTCTAAAACATTCTAAATAAATATCAGACATTTTTTCAGTAAAAGTTTATCTGTTACTTCCTTTATTCTAACTCTGTATGGACTTGATAAATATGACTATCTTCGTAACAACCATAAGAAAATAGGAAATAATTCTAAATTACTATTTTGTTCTTTTTTAGAATGGCTGCAGACTGTAACAGGGAACATCTGTTTTTACTTAAATTTTACTGTTTTATTGTCCTTTGACTCGTGTCTAACTAATGATTCCACCACAAAAGTAGAAAATCACTCAGTAATTGCATAATCCAAGTATCGTATTGAATTACTTTATGCACAAGCTGCTCGCTAGCATAACTGATGAAGAATGATTATTATTTTTCATTATCTTACCTAACCTAACTTTATCTAACAAAATAAGTTTCTACTTTTTATATGTTTTTAACTTTTATGATAATAAATAAAGAATATACATGAAAAAAAGAAATATGGTAGCCCTGTTATAACGCGATCGTTGGGGTCCATAAAATGTCATTGCAAAACAAGCGAAGTCGCGCTAAATCGTGGTTCAAGAAAATCACTGTTCAAACTGACCCAATGTTCACCTAACATCCTAAAACACCTCTATTTTCGTCCTCTTTGACTAGTTGTTTACATGTTCCCCTTCCTGGTAAGAAAATTACCTCTGAATTAAAGAATTTTGCAAATGAATCATTGTCGTTACAGTAGAAATTATAACACAACTTATTTTTAGTAGGCTTTTTAATAAAAAAAACAACAAATAAAAACATTCAAGAATATTAGCAATCATCATTTGCAGTTTGTTTCTTAAAAAACTGATTGAGTGTTCCTTGCTTGAACGTAGCGTGTCTCTGGCTGCAAGCAAAATCTAGAATGCTTCTGAGTTGGAGAGTTTATATGTGGTCCACCTGGGTCTCCAGTGAACGGAGGCTAGCCTCAAGGTGTTCAGTGGCTTCAGATACTTTTGGTGGTGGTGATGGAGGCTCTTCATTATCCTCTTCTTGTGACTCAAGAACCGATGCACTTGCCTTTGTCGGTGCTATAGTTACGTTACGGACAGTGTCGGCATTTATCAAGTGCTCATATGTTGGGAAATTGTCATCAACAGACAGCTTCTTTGCCTCACGCACATCTTCCTCTGTGAATCTCTCTCGTCATCATCTTCCATCTTCCGTGGTGGATTGCCGTGATGAAAAGGCTAGCCCCAGACCCTTCTCCCAGCATTTCTCTACACACGACGAGCTGACTGCTTCCCAGGCTTTCCCACCTAAGTGGCAAACTTCCTTCATGTTCAGGCTTTTCAGATAGGCTTCAAGCGTTGTTGAAGGATTTAGTGAAAAAAAACGTTTGAAATGCATTTAGGGATTATACAAAGGAAATTTGAGATTTTTGAGATGACGAAAAGTATTTTTAATTTTGACATGAAAATCACTTTGCACTTAGACTAGTTAAAAAAAGAATCGATATTTTCATGGACAAATTTAAGTAAAAATACATTAAAAAATCTGATTTTTTGTGTGCAAAAGGCTTCTAATGTTTACTACAAGTCTACAAAATTTTGTA